CCTCACTAGTCGCCTTCCCTGCTCTAGGTTGCTTCTGCATTCTGTCGCTGCAGGCTGGACCAGGTGACCTGCTTGCTAAAGCTTTGCCTCCACTGTCTGAGCTGGGAGAAGCCTAGTTTTTCCTAAGCCTACAGTTGTAGGCTCAGAACCTCCCAGCCACAGCACGCCCCTTGCCCCAGGCTAGCTTACTCCAGGTCTCAGGTTGGTGGTCTCCTGGGGTAAGGTGTTTCCTGTTTCTTTGGAAACCAAGGTCATTTTAACTTGCTGCCCCACCCCCACCCCCAACTCTGTTAAGCATCCAGACATTCTACCAGGGCCTGGGCACACAACTGAGAGGACTGTCTCCTCGATTTTCAGTTCAGTTAATTTTTTGAAAGACTATTTCAAATAGTTCAGGGAAGGCCATGAAGGAGAGGAGACAAAGAAAAGGAGGAGGTCAAAAGGTTCCAGACCCAAGGATAAAATCATTCTGAGATGAAAGGAAAATGGAGATCCAATTCATACAGTTAAAGTGACCTTTATTCCGCCCAGAGTGCATGTTCAGTGAGATCCCTGACCAGGGAGAAATCCCCACGTGGGCTATGGTGGACAGGAATTTAAAGGGTTAGGGCAGTCAGGATTGGTGGCATTCCTATTTCCTGGGAGGGACATGAGTCTAACCCTCTCTGGGTAGGCCATGAACCTGACCCTTCCTGGGCGGGCCATGAACCTGACCCTGCCTGGGCGGGGCAAATTTATTTGGGCCAGTACGCCTGATCTATCTGAGGTGAAGAGGAGGGAAAGGCAGAGGGAAGGAGAGGAAGGAGGAATAAAGAAACCTGACAACCAAGCAGATTATCTAAGAACTCAGTCCACTTCCTAGTGTGACTGGCACAGCACCTTCTGCAATGCTCGGGCTCAGGAAACGGTGTTGAATTAATTGATCAGTTAATTAATACCACATGCCATGTGTATTTTTAATTGAAAATGCTTTTCTGAATTTCCTTTTTGAGCATTCCGAGAAGTGCTCAAGCTATATGTTCATTAGGTGGTCTCTTGCAAACTTACCTAATAATCACTGGACATACAGCCAAATGGAAAATGGCAGGCATGGTGGCTCACGCCTGTAATCTCAGCACTCCGGAAGGCCAAGCTAGGTGGATTGCTTGAGTGCAGGAGTTCAAGACTAGCCTCATCAAGAGCGAGACCGTCTCTAAAAAACTAGCCAGATGTTGTGGTAGGCACCTGTAGTCCCAGCTACTTGGGAGGCTGAGACAAGAGGATCACTTGAGCCCAGGAATTAGTTTGAGGTTGCTGTGAACTGGGAGGCCAGAGCACTCTACTGAGGGTGAAAGTGAGATTCTGTCTCAAAAAAGAAAATGGACTAGTTTTAAAATTACATTGGCCACTAGATTCTCACACTGAGCACCTGAGAACTGAGCCTTACAAAGCCACTGTGAGCTGCCACGAGGAAGCTCTGAAAACCACAAGCCTGCCTCCTGCTTCAGTAGTTCTTGATTGAAGGATAATGCCAACCTTGCAAGTGATTTTCTGCTGGGACTGTGGGGAAAGGATGGGTACCTGCCCTCCATTGGATGTTGAGATGATTCTGGTCGTGCCTCCACACTGCTTCACATACCATAGGAACCAGAGAGCAGAGACCTCATGGGTCTCTGCAGTGACACACAGATTCACAAAAAGAGTGGCAAACTGCTTCACAGATCTACACAGAAAGAAATGAGCAAAAATTCAAGAGAGAATCTTCTTAATTCTCTAGAAATTATTCCAATAATACATTTTCTCGGCAAAGTTTAGCACAAATTGGCAAGTAACAGAAAATTGTCACTAGAATCTGATATTATAAAACATGGCATTAGAGATTTTGGAAATATCAGATTTCTCTCCTCCTTAAACAGAACACCTTATTCAGCATCAGCTTCTATTCCATATTCAGTGCTGCCATGATTTCTCCCCACATACCTGTTCCTTTTCCAATGTTCCCCATCTCAGTAAAAGCTACCACTACTCACTTAACAGCTAAAGCCAGTGCTCTAGAAATTGAACTTAATTTCTCTCTTTCCATCACCCTCTCCCATCCAGTCAATAAAGAAGTCCTATTGTCTCTTACCACTTTAATTCCACCTTTATACCACCAATTAGCATCACTGCTTGTCAGGAGTACTGCAATAATGTAGTGGCCTCTCTGCCTCCACTTGTCTTCACCTTGTATCTATTCAACATGCTCAAAGCCAAATGTTTTTTACTTCCCTCCCCACCATGGAGCTCTTTCCTTTTTTCTTTTTCTTTTTTTTTTTAGAGACAGAGTCTCATTATGTTGCCCTCAGTAGAGTGCTATGACATCACAGCTCACAGCAACTTCCAACTCTTGGGCTTAAGTGATTCTCTTGCTTCAGTCTCCCAAGTAGCTGGGACTACAGGCACCCACCACAATGCCTGGCTATTTTTTGTTGTTGTTGTCTTTGTCGTTTAGCAGGCCCAGGCTGGGTTCAAACCCACCAGTCCTGGTGCATGTGGTCAGTGCCCTAACCACTGAGGTACGGGGCGCCGAGTTGCAGCTCTTTCTAAAGTATAGTTTGAGCCATGCCATTTTCTGACTGTTTTTTTCTTGAGATAGAGTCTCAAGCTGTCACCCTGGGTAGAGTGCTTTGGTGTAACAGCTCATAGCAACCTCCAACTCTTGGGCTCAAGTGGTCCTCTTGCCTCAGATTTTCTATTTTAGTAGAGACCGGGGTCTCGCTTTTAATCAGGTTGGTTTTGAACTGTTGAGCTCAAGCTATTCACCTGCCTGGGCCTCCCAGAGTGCTAGGATTCCAGGCATGAGCCTGGCCACCATTTTCTTACTTAAAACCCTCTACTAGGCTCCGTGCCTATGGCTCAAGCAGCTAAGGC